AAGTATTTGGGGAGACAAATGAAAAAAGCTAATATTTTGCATAGATAGAAACGATTTTAATGTGGATGCAGGTCCTTATACGACATAGGATATACATTTAAAAATTTGTAAATAAATTTAAACTTATTAGAAAATTAAAATATATACCTTTTCAAAAGCACATCTTTCTGCTAAGTTGATGTCATTGAAATATTGTAGCTGTAAATAAAAAGAAGCAATTTGAATAAATATTTCCTTTTTAATTAAGAACTTTTCAAATTTGTTTTTAATTATGTGACTCGAAAACTTACGTCCTCCTGCCAATGTAAATTCATGTGCGTTCACCCATTAAAAAAGGAGACAAATTTACAACTCATTAAAAAAATATTTATTTTTATCTCTCTCTTTCTCTCTCTTAAAAACTTGTTTTCTCTACAAATCGTCCTTATCATAGATAAGCAATGCTTAATTTCCATCAAGTTTTCCGTTCAAAGTTGTTAACTAAAATTGTGCAAGTTTTCTGTTTTTTTTTCTCTCGTTTTAATTTGCATTAACATCACTCAGGTTTCCATCTGAAGCATCGACACATTAACCACCTGTATCATCTTCCAATGTGAGCCAGCATGAATGCTGTCGGGCAGACTTCTTGCTCAGTATTCGACAACAACACAACAACGAAATTGAATATTTTGCATTTTATTGCTATAAAATGATGAACTCTGATAAAAAATGAGACATTGCCATTAAGATGATAGCATGAATTTTCCATCGAAATAATTTAATGTGTTTTTTTATTCATTAAGCGGGTGAGGGGTAGAAATTAAGTTTCCACAGCAAAATTGTTTGCAAATTTATGGAACAAATAATTTGCTTGAAAAGCGAAATAATAAATCATTGTAGTTTTGTCAAACACTCAGAAATAAGTAACCTTGCAAAAATCAAAGAATGGTTTTGAAACTGTTTTAGAAAAAAATAAGCCGTATTTTTATATCCTACACCACAAGGTGGTCAGGGTATTATATATTTGTACATTTGTTTGTAACAGGCAAAAGGATGATCTGCATAGAATCACATTCTGAGTCGATTTATGCATTTCCGTCCGTCTGTCTGTCCATATATTTTTGTATACAAAAAACAAAGTACGCACCCGATCGAGCTTTGCACAAGTCATTTGTTTGACGTAAAGACGATCCCTATTGAAATTGGAGATATAGGTCCCATATATGTCTACGTCCGATTGTGCACCAAACGAGTAATATCAGCCCAAATAGTATGGAATTTTGAAGTTACGACCATATTAAACCTGGAAATAAGTATGCCAAATTTTATCGAGATCGGTTAAGATGTGGATTTAGCTCACATTTATATCTTCGTCCGATTTATATTTTTTTTTGTACGAAGCTGTCCTAGATATGCAAAGGGGTATCATAATGTCGGCCCACCCGACATTTAAAACTTTCTTTACTTGTTTTAATTTTAAATGTACGCTGTGCGGCAAAATTTATTTTTTTTTATAATTGCAGGAAAACCCAGTAGATTATAAAAGTTGAGCTAAAAATGAAACACTCGTGTATCGGCGTTTGGAAAGTTTGCATCGCAAAGTAAAGTAAAATGGACTAAGACTTCTTTTAATTCTCACATTTTACCTACATAGTGTCCTCGACATCGCATCGCAAGGTAAAATGGAGTGGACTAAGACTTCTTTTAATCCTCACATTTTACCTACATAGAGTCCTCGGCAATATTAGGTGTCTTGTTGATCCTGGTCTTGTTTCGAAAAAAGTTCCCTTTTTTATTTTTCATCAAAATATGGGAGCTCTCTGGTCGCTCAAAATAGAGCCAGAGTTTGTTCTAAAAGTGTAAATGAATGGAAAAATAAGCTAAAAAGTAGGGAGGTACTTGATGGAGTGGACCGATTTTGTCCATTTTCGCACCTGGCTTGGCATTGATGAAAATATTAGGATTCGCAAAGTTGGTGCAAAATCGGATTATCATTTCTTCTTCTGTGCAGTAAAATATTATTTTTTGAAAATTTCGACTTTTTGTGGTGGAGGTATCAGAAGGATTGGTCCGATATTGCCCATCTCCGAACTCGACCTAAGTTGGATAATAATATTACGATGTACAAAGTTTGGGCCAAATTTAAAGTACATTTTTATAGAACTTCAATTTTAATTCCCTTAAACCATTCTTTGACATATTATTTCCAATTTCAAAAATATCAGTTCTATGTCAGGGTTCTAGCAACCCAGTCCGAAAAAAGCTGCTAAGGGTTTTTGTAGTCCTAAGGCGCTCATGACATTTTGTAACGTGGTTTTTTCGTCGGCTTGGATAACAACTTTTTATTTTTCCCTCATGGGGCCAAAATGGGTGCTTATTGATATGAGTATAATTAATTTGTACTTCAAATGAAATGCGACGGGGTGTGTTGAGTTGCAGGTTCTGCGATGGTCGGAACGACGATGATGATGTAATTAGGTGAATTCGGTCGATGATCGGACAACGAATGATACGATGAGTTTCGAGAATTCTGCTGATGATCGGGAAACGACGATGTGGTGAAGTTCGGGATTCCGGTTGATGGTCGGGAAGCGACGATGCGGTGATGCTCGGGAATTTAGTTGATGATCGAAAACGACAATGCGACGATGTTCGAAATTTCGGTTGATTATCGGGAACGACGATGCGATGAAGTTCGAGAATTCGGTTGATGATCGGGAACGACGATGCGGCGATGTTCGGGAATTTGGTTGATAATCGGAAACAACGATGTCTCTGTGGGGAACGGAAACCCCCGTGGGGTACAGGTTTCCAAGTGGGACGAAAAGCCGAAGCTTCCGTGTGGTACAGGAATGCGAAGACTCTGTGAGGGACGGAATACCGAGGCCTCCGTGTAGTACTAGAATCCGAAGACCTCCGTGGGGTACAGAAAACCGAAGTCTCTGTGTTATGTATTAATATGGCTTTCACTATGGAACGCCTTTCCAAAAGTCGCTAACAACACCCGTCGACAACCAAAATATGGTAACAGGGTCGTCCCTGCAGTAGCCTCCCCAAGTAGCAAATACCAAAGTATTAAAGGCTCTGGTGACACGAGGTGAATTAGAATTATATTAGTTGACCACAATAAATAAAGCAGTGAAATGCAAAAATAGAATGCCGTAGGTAATAGGTATGTACGCGGCACTTATCAATAATAAGTATGTGATACCTGTCATGTTACAAATAAAACACATTTTTTCTCCGCTCTGGAAACTACACCTAAAGTGGAATTTCCCCATATTGAAATAATCTGAAAACCTCTTAGGGTTTATGAAATTTACAGTTTTTGAACCCAAATTTTACATTTTTTTATTTGTGTAATTATTGTTAGAGCTCTACTTATTGACATTATTTAAATTTTACTTAGTATGCCCTAGCTCTTCCTTCCAACACGCTAGCCATTAGTGTGGCCCAGGGATGGAAAATCAAAAATTCCAAAAGGTACTAAAATGGTACTTTTTTAAATAAAATGGTACTTTTTTATAATTTTTTTTAGAGTTACAAAAAAACGTTTTATTTATTAAACATAACAAATTCATTCACCTATGTATTTAGGTACATATGTATATAGGTTCCAGGAACATAAAATGTGAGATCATTTTTTCTTATAAAGGGTGATTTTTTTGAGGTTAGGATTTTCATGCATTAGTATTTGACAGATCACGTGGGATTTCAGACATGGTGTCAAAGAGAAAGATGCTCAGTATGCTTTGACATTTCATCATGAATAGACTTACTAACGAGCAACGCTTGCAAATCATTGAATTTTATTACCAAAAAGTTGGCAGAAAATCCGCTTTTTTATCGACAAATTTTGTTCAGCGATGAGGCTCATTCCTGGTTGAATGGCTACGTAAATAAGCAAAATTGCCGCATTTGGAGTGAAGAGCAACCAGAAGCCGTTCAAGAACTGCCCATGCATCCCGAAAAATGCACTGTTTGGTGTGGTTTGTACGCTGGTGGAATCATTGGACCGTATTTTTTCAAAGATGCTGTTGGACGCAACGTTACGGTGAATGGCGATCGCTATCGTTCGATGCTAACAAACTTTTTGTTGCCAAAAATGGAAGAACTGAACTTGGTTGACATGTGGTTTCAACAAGATGGCGCTACATGCCACACAGCTCGCGATTCTATGGCCATTTTGAGGGAAAACTTCGGAGAACAATTCATCTCAAGAAATGGACCGGTAAGTTGGCCACCAAGATCATGCGATTTGACGCCTTTAGACTATTTTTTGTGGGGCTACGTCAAGTCTAAAGTCTACAGAAATAAGCCAGCAACTATTCCAGCTTTGGAAGACAACATTTCCGAAGAAATTCGGGCTATTCCGGCCGAAATGCTCGAAAAAGTTGCCCAAATAAAGAACCGATGAGATTTTGCAAATTTTATGCGTTTTTTTTTTAAAAAAAGTTATCAAGCTCTTAACAAATCACTCTTTATAACATTCTGAAGTTTGTAAAGTTTTTTTTATGATTAATTTCTTAAGGAAATTATCAGGAATTTTGTAATCAAAACAGCAAGAATTATTCGATTTAAGAAGATCTTTCGACATTATGAGATTAGAAAGTCTTTCTAGCTGTAGACGGATTCTTTCTTTAGTCTTAGTGGCATTTTGAATTGAAAATATTCGTTCAAAATTCGCTTAAGAATGGAGAATTGATAATATACCAAAGGCAATTCTTGATATATTTGGGAACATTAATTTCCCCAATTCGTTTTTAATAACACTAACATTAAGCCAAAAATCACTAATATTACCATCTTTACATTTTTTAAGTTCAGGTTAATCAGATAAAGCTCTAAATTGGGAGTTAATGTTTTCAAAATTTTGTTCTTCCTTGGGAAAGAATTTCATTAAAATTTGCATTTCAAGTTTAGTATTATTAATTAATTTTAAAACATAAGACAAAAATAAGTAGAACATTTTCATTATGGGACTAGTTAGTTCATCGCTAATGAATTCCAACTCTATGACTGTTGTAGATCAGGCCTATTATTTGATGTTATCGATAATTGTTATTTTGATTCTATCGATTATTATTTGCATTGTCACTTTGTATTGAATTACCGCAGTTTGCTGATTCCTCTTTCTTTGCATATTTGTGCTTATCGTTGCTGAGCGCAATTAGCTCATTTTAAATTTGATATTCGTTGAAGAAGGAGGCGCAAAACTGCGGTAAGTGTCCGTCATTTATATTTGTATTTTTTGGTAAATTAACAGTTATGTTTTCGTAGAAATAAACGCAGCAACAATATAAACGTGTTTTATTGTCCGTTTAACGCAAGCCTCCTGCCCTTCTAGCCGCAGTCAGCAACATTTTTTTATTTCGCATTTTGCTGTTATTGTATGTTGCAGTTTTTTGTATTTTCATACAAAGAACTGAGTTTGTTGCCGTGGTAATTGTTGGTGGACACAAAATAAGCAACCTTTTGGAAAATGTTACAGCATACTCCACCACGCCGGAGTCCTCGTCTGCAAGGAAATATAAATGCAGATGCTGTAACAGATGATCATCCTGATCAGACTCAGCCAGAGTCAATGCTAATTAGTGTCACAAACAAAACAACCACACAAACTGCCGGAGGTAATATTAAAAGTGGGGAACAGCCTATAACCTCACGTGTTGTGCAGCCAGCACCTATTTCCTCCATGGAATTAAATGGAAATCCAGCCACTACAGTAAGTGGCCACCAACAGCAAACTATCGGACAGAAGATGTCAGTGCCGATGTCGACTACAAGTCCTGCCAGTCCATCAGAGATGCAAAGACAAGTCAACCTATTGAAAAGCCAGCTATCGGAAACACAAAAGAAGCTGACCAACAGCAACCGCCAATGCCATGAACTCCAAAATGCACTCCGAAACGTATCATCCCAGGTAAGTGACCATAACCTCACATCAGTTTCAACCTCGCAAACGCCATTTGCAATCGCCATTGACACCAGAGCCGCCATGCCGCCAACAGCATTTGGGTCCCGCTATACCAATTGCCCAACCACACACACATATACAACCGCCGCCATGTTTCAGCCTGTAGCAAGCACCAGAGCCGTTATGCCGTCGACGTACGCTGCCTCAGCAATTGGAAACTTAACTGCAGCGACAGTGGCGAGCGCATCCTCTGCCGCGATGCCACTACTACAATCAGCACCAACTGCAGCCAGCAGTAATGCCAGCGCTGCTACGACCTGTTCAATGCCATTATGGGAGCCATTGCAAAATTTTCAACACTTTGATACTTTTCCAAATCCAAGCATACCTGCGATCACAATGCCAAGAAAAATTCAAGATTTGCCAGAATTCAGTGGTGATCCAGACGACTGGCCATTATTTTATACAGCTTTCAACCAGTCAACTGCAGCATATGGTTACACGAATTTGGAAAATAATCAACGTTTGCACAAGTCGCTCAAAGGTGAAGCCAGAGAAGTCGTCAAATCACTGCTTATTCATCCTGACAACGTCGACGACATAATTAAACAACTCTGTTTTAGATTTGGTAGACCGGAGCAGCTCATACATAGTCAGTTACGCCAAGCCAGGGAATTGCCTCAGATTTCGGAAAATAACTTAGGGAAGTTAGTGCCATTTTCAACAAAAGTTAAAAATTTAGCTGTTTTCCTGCAATCCGTGAATGGACAAAATCACATTGCTAACCCTACACTTCTGGAGGAGTTGGTGTCGAAGCTTCCAATGAGTAAGAAATTAGAATGGGCCAGGGTAGCCACTCAAATTCAACCATATCCTACAATAATACATTTCAGCGATTGGCTTTGCGAGATTGCTAATTTAATATGCATAGTGCAGGATGTGGAATATAAAGACCAAAAGCGCCGTGTTTTATTGCATTCCACCGGACAACAAATACAATGCCCTATGTGCCAGGGCCAACATAGGATTTATGATTGCCGCCGGTTTTTAAACCTGAATGTTCCAGATAGATGGAAACAAGTTAAAAAAAATCGTGCCTGTTTTTCCTGTTTGCACACTGGACATATAACCCGAGACTGTCGACGTAGACGAGTATGCCCTGAGGAAGGATGCGAGCGAAGGCATCATAAATTACTTCATGAGTGCACCACCCCCTGTGTTCCACCACCAACTTTGGCGAATCCTGATCCTAAATCTCAACAAAATGTTCTCAGTTGCAATTCCGAAGATAAGAAGAAACTTCTTTTTAGGGTTCTGCCTGTAACATTGTACGGGAACAATTGTTCAATGGAAGTCTACGCCCTCTTTGATGATGGATCATCCATCACCATGATGGACAGCGATATTGCCGAAAAAATAGGGATAAGAGGAAAGAATACTTCGCTCAATGTTCAATGGTTCGGAGGCCGATCAGCCAGAGAGCCCGTGACATCCTTCAACATAAAAGTGAGTGGATCTGGTAAAAAGGGTTGCCATCTACTAAAAAATGTGTATGCAGTATCTAATCTCAACCTTCCGATGCAGTCCTTGAGTCAAGATGAAATTTTATCAGCCTTTAAGAACTGTAAATTTCCTCCCGTGAAACCCTACTCCAATGTAGTGCCAAAGCTTTTGATTGGATTGGACCACGCGTCTCTAGGGTTGCCATCGAATTGTAAAATAAATAATGAATTTGGACCATTTGCATGTAATACGGAATTGGGATGGGTTGTTTTCGGGCCATGTCACTCTTTATCCTCAATTCAGAAGTCATCTTTGTTTATTTCGGTGGAAAACAAAGACGAATTACATCAAATAGTAGCTGATTATTTTAATGTGGAAGGTATGGGAGTTAGATCTGCTCCTTTAGTTGAAAGCGATGATGATGTTAGAGCCAAGAGAATTCTTGAAGAAACCACTCAACGAATTGGAGATCGATTTCAAACTGGGCTGTTGTGGAAACAAGATGAGATTCGTCTCCCAGATAGTTACCCGATGGCACTTAGTCGTCTGGAAGGAATTGAAAGGAAGATGAAACGAGATCCCAAGTTCTCTGCGGCCTACAGGGAAATTATAGATAAATACATAGAGAAAGGATATGTTCGGAAACTACAATCAGACGAGGTACGAATTTCTAGTGAAAGAAAATGGTATTTGCCGCACTTCGGGGTAGTCAACCCGAACAAACCTGAAAAGTTAAGACTCGTTTTTGATGCAGCCGCCAAGGTAAACAATATTTCGCTGAATTCTATGCTGTTAAAAGGACCTCAAAATATAGCTTCCTTGTTGACTATACTGTATAATTTCCGCCGAGGCAAAATAGCAGTTGGTGCCGATATATGTGAAATGTTTCACCAAGTTAAAATTCAGCCGAGTGATAGAGTTTCCCAGCGATTCCTATGGAGGGATGGAAATCAGAAAGAGCCACCGGGTGTATACGAGATGCAGGCCATGATCTTCGGTGCAGCCTGCTCACCATGCTCAGCCATTTTTGTCATGAAAGCAAATGCTAAAGAACATTTGCACTATAATCCAAGAGCGATTGAAGCCATTAGCGAGAACCATTATGTTGATGATTTTGTAGATAGCTTTGAAAGTGTAGATGAAGCTATCATTATTTCTAAACAAGTGAAAGAAATTCACAAAAATGGCGGATTTGAATTGAGGAACTTCATATCAAACTCGAAGGATGTCTCCCAGACACTTGATGGTAGTTTGAAAGCAATGCCGATTAATAACGGAGCAGAGAAGGTCTTAGGATTATATTGGGAGCCTTCTAGTGATACGTTTATGTTCAACTTAAAATTCAATCGAGTCGATTCATCCATAATTTCTGGAGAACTGAAACCAACAAAAAGGAAACTTTTAAGCATTATAATGTCTACATTTGACCCCCTTGGACTTTTGGGCCACTTTACAGTGGGTGGAAAATTATTAATGCGACAGATTTGGAAACACGATTGTCGATGGGATGATATTATTCCTGACGATTTACATGCCATATGGGAAAGGTGGAGAGGTCAGATGAAAAATGTTGCCAAATTTAGCGTCCCTAGACATTATTTTCAAACAGGTTTGCCAACATCACTACAGCTTCATATCTTTGTTGATGCCAGTGAGGATGCCTTTGCTGCAGTGGCATATTGGAGGTACATTTCGAATGAGTACACTGATACCAGCTTCATCACTTCTAAAATTAAATGTGCACCTCTGAAAAAAGTTACGATTCCGCGTCTGGAGCTACAAGCTGCCGTTTTGGGAACTAGATTAATGCAGACTATTATGTCATCTCATATTTTGACCCCAGAAAAGATTGTTTTGTGGAGTGACTCCACAACAGTGTTACGATGGATAGCCAGCAGCCACAGACAATATAAACAGTACGTCGCCCATCGAATTTCTGAAATATTGTCATCAACAAAAATAGAGAATTGGAGATGGGTTCCAACAAGTGAAAATGTAGCCGATGAAGGCACCAGGTCATTCAACAATATTGACTTTTCCATGTCGTCCCGATGGTTAAGAGGTCCTGCTTTCTTGAGAATGACTGAACATGACTGGCCTACTAGAGTAATTGACACCACCTGTGCTAATGATATTGAGGAAAATCATCCGAAAACATCATTATTGATTGTTGAGAATGATTTTATTGATTTTAACCGGTTTTCGTCATTTACAAGAATAATAAGGTCGACTTGTTGGATTATTCGTTTTGTGAAAAGATGCCGAAATATTTTTGACGATTCGGAACAGTATGGTCTCACGTCCCGTGAATTAAATTGCGCCGAAGAAATATTATGCCGCCTAGTACAAAGAGAAAGGTTTTCTGCCGAGTTAAGTTGCATTGAAAAAGGGCAGCCAGTTTCAAAGAACAGTAGTTTGATTAGTTTATCTCCCTATATTGATGGTAATGGTCTTTTAAGAGTATATGGAAGAATAGATGCTGCCAGCTACCTATCATACAACGTGAAAAGGCCAATAATATTGCCTAAAAATCATCAGTTTACGAAACTTTTAGTCATGCATCATCATCGCCAGATGATGCACCAAAATCACGAGGCTACGGTGTGTGAAATTCGAAAAAAGTATTGGATACCACAAGTACGTTCTTTGTTGAAGACAGTAGTTGCCGAGTGTTTTTTATGCCGATCTAGAAAATGTTTACCACGATTGCCCATCATGGGGCAGCTGCCATTAGACCGCCTTGATCCTAATATTCCGCCGTTCAAATATACAGGACTTGATTATTTTGGACCAATTACTGTAACAATTGGAAGGAGATCCGAGAAAAGGTGGGTAGCATTGTTTACATGCTTAACAATACGTGCTATACATCTGGAATTAGCGCATGACTTGTCAACGGATTCGTGTATCATTGCCATAAGGAATTTCATTAATCGTAGAGGTGTTCCAACCAGGATTCGTTCCGATAACGGGACAAATTTTATTGGGGCCAACGAGGAGTCTAAAAGATTCACCGAAGCCTTTGATGCTAATAGAATCCAGAGTGAGTTATCCAAGAGAGGAATTGAATGGATTTTTAATTGTCCGGCTAATCCTTCGGAAGGTGGCGCTTGGGAAAGAATGGTACAGTGTGTGAAAAAAGTTTTGCGGCATACACTGAAAGAAATCTCACCTCGAGAACATGTACTACAGTCTCTTTTAATCGAAGCAGAGAATATAGTGAATTCCCGCCCACTAACTCACTTGCCAATAAGTCCTGATGAGGAGGAACCACTTACTCCTAACCATTTTTTAATTGGCTCGGGAAATGTTGCACCTACCCCGCCAGTGAATGAACCCGACGGGAAGCTTTTTTCCCTGAAAAAACAATGGAGAGTTCTGAGGTGTCTTCGAGATAGATTTTGGAAGCGGTGGATTGCAGAATACTTACCCACTCTCACCAGGAGAGTTAAGTGGTGTGAATATACTCAACCAATCAGTGCTGGAAATGTGGTTTTCATCTGCGACCCAAATGTTCCAAGGAGTCAATGGCGGAGAGGTTTGGTCACTTGTGTCTACACGGGTACGGATGGTGTGCCAAGAAGAGCTGATGTGAAGACTTCGTCCGGAGTACTGCAACGTCCGGTATCCAAGTTAGCTGTTTTGGACATAGAAATTAGTGAAGCTGATCGCTCCACGGGGGTGGGGGTGTTGTAGATCAGGCCTATTATTTGATGTTATCGATAATTGTTATTTTGATTCTATCGATTATTATTTGCATTGTCACTTTGTATTGAATTACCGCAGTTTGCTGATTCCTCTTTCTTTGCATATTTGTGCTTATCGTTGCTGAGCGCAATTAGCTCATTTTAAATTTGATATTCGTTGAAGAAGGAGGCGCAAAACTGCGGTAAGTGTCCGTCATTTATATTTGTATTTTTTGGTAAATTAACAGTTATGTTTTCGTAGAAATAAACGCAGCAACAATATAAACGTGTTTTATTGTCCGTTTAACGCAAGCCTCCTGCCCTTCTAGCCGCAGTCAGCAACAATGACAAACGCATCCAATTACAAAAAGACTTGGAACTGACAATTTTAATATTGCTTGCACACCTTTGTATTTCAACATCATCACTGAGCAATTATCAGCCGTAAACCCGATCATTTTCTCCAGTGGTATTTTGCATCCGTTTAAAACTTCAATTATTTTGTCAGTAATGCCTTTGCCGGTTGCCTCCACAATATGTTCTAGTGATAGGAATCTATCTTGACACTTTCCATCAAAAGTTCTTACAATAATCGTCAAATGTTTGGACACAGTACAGTCAGTGCTGTCGTTGATAACAATTAGTAATAATTTGCATTGCAAAATTTGCTTATAGCTTTAGTATTTTCTGGTCACTGATATCCATACATTTGCAATGATAACCGAAGTTAGTGCCAATGGTGTCGTAAGAATGTGTATGAAATATTGAAAATTAGTAATCGTCGATATACACTAATTGCATTATAATGGAGACAACTTAAGTGAAATGGTACTGAATTTCCCGCGGTAGTACTTAGGTACTGTTTGTAGTGAAATGGTACTGAAAAAAGTACCATTGTACTGAATTTTCCATCCCTGGTGTGGCCCCGTATGGAATTTCAAAGTTCTAGTATTTGAGTAAAAGTTCTACCAACTCAATCCTGAAGAGCTGCTAATTTTTATGGCAGTCCTAAGAAAAAGTAGACATTTTTTCCAAAGAAAAAAATATTAAATTTCTTTCCCGGATAAAATTGGAATACTCTCCCAGAGAAAATTAAAGCCCTTAGAGTGGAATTTCCGTTACCAAAAATAATGTCAAACGCCATTAGGGTTGAAGGATAGTGGCAAATTTTTGAATGCTCCCTATTGTACAATTTTTTTGTTTGTGTTGTTATCTTAAATGCTCAATTGGGGACATTATGGAAATATCATTAGCCAACCATCGAAAGCAGAGCAGCATCATCATAATTATTTTTATAGCCATGACATTTTGTTTTATCACTTTTGTGCAAAATTGTGTTTCGCTCCCTATATTCAAAGAAGCGGATAAAAGAAATTATTAAAATAACTCAAACTCAACGAGAGAGGAAGAATATCGCGGCAACACTTTAGTGCGGATAGCGGGAGTGGGAGAGGTACTACAGATTCCATGTGGCTACCACTTCGCCACACCACACAATTAATTATTCAATGTCATTCAAGTGCACAATCAACCACTTGTTCATGACGGTGACGACTATGACGACGACGTTGATGGTGATGATGATGAAGATGATGTTTGGCTTATTTTTGTTTCTTTGCAAACATTTTCGCATTTTACTATAATTTTTGTTTTCATTTTTTTCTCGTGCTTGTACAAAATTTGCAATTTTTCAATTGTTTGCTATAGCTCTCTTTTTAATTTTTTCTTGCCGCTGATGTTTTGTTTTTTTTTTTTTGTTTGCTACTTTTTATTAAAATTTTTATTTTTATTTCTGTAATTTAATTCGCTGTCATTTTTTTTCTTTTTGCGCGGCACCCAACCACTACTGCCAAACACTCGTTGTCATTGTCTTTTCGGTTTCGGTGCCGTTTATCTTTTGTTTGCCATTTTAGGTAGTTTATTATCTTTTGTTTATTAATTTAATGGATTTTCTATGACTATTTTTCTCTGTTTGGTTTTTTTCTTTGCGACAATCTACTGTTTATTGCAGCCTACAGCGATAACATCTAGCGTTTGGGTTAAAATATTTGCATGACAGCAGACGTTATAGCTGTCAACGTAGTGCAATACAGAACCAAATGGAGGACTTTCTTCGGGAATTATAGTGGCTACAAGACAGAAAGACATATGGGCGCCGCTTAATCGACTTTAAATAAAACTGATTTTATCCAAGGAGAGCTAGGGTAAAGTACCTTAAGGTGTGATTTTTTAAGAGCTATGATAATGTTTTTTGAAAAAGAAAAAATTATAAGTCCACATAATTAAGTGTTTGCCGTGTGGTTTAGCGTGCTGTGTGGCACCGTCTTGTTGAAACCACATGCCATGCAAGCTCTTGCATATTGGGCAAAAAAGTTGGATATCAACTCTCGGTAGAGCTCACAATTTTCAGTTCGCAGCATCTTTGAAGAAGTATTGTCCAAAAATGCCACCAGTCCATCAACTGCACAAAACTATGACTTTTTATACCCTTTACCATTCTAGAGGGTATATTAGCTTTGCCACTCCTCGAAATATTCACAATAGACCCTACAAAGCATATATATTCCTGATCAGCGTGAAATTCTAAGACGAATTTTCGAACGAATTGAGATAGAAGGCTAAAATTTTGCCTACATGCATAGTTTACCAGTAGGCAGGTTAATTTGTAAATGGGCCATGTCGTTCCACATTTTCGTATAGCCCCCATATATCGGTACCTCCCGATGTTCGGTATTTTCATGATTTTAGCCACATTATTTACCGGAATTATTTCAAATCTCATATTTGAAGGCCATAATGGGTACTACAGCCTATGACAAAAATTTTTTAATGCAGGTCCACGTTTTCGTTATTTGCCGAAATTCGGTATTTGGATGATTTCAGCAACATTATTCACCGGAATTGTTTCAAATTTCGTATTAGAAGATCTTAATGGGTACCACAACTTATGGCAAACATTTTTGTACGCAGGTCAACGTCTTCGTACAGCCCCCATATAACGGTACCTTCCGATTTTCGGTATTTTGATGATTTTAGCGACATGATTTACCGGAATTGTTTCAAATTTGGTATTTAAAGTTCGAAATGGATACTACACCCTAAAACAGAAAATTGTCTGTGCAAGTCCACGTCTTCGTATAGCCCCCATATAACGGTACCTCCCGATATTCGGTATTTTGATGATTTCAGCAACATTATTCACCGGAATTGTTTCAAATTTCGTATTTGAAGTTCGTAATGTGTACTACAGCCTATACCAAAAATTTTTCAATGCAGGCCACGTCTTCGTATAGCCACCATATAATGGTACCTCCCAATATTATGTATTTTGGTTATTTTAACAACATTATAGACCACTATTGTTTCGTATTGGAAGATCTTAATGGGTACTACAACTTATGGCAAAAATTTTTGTAGGCAGGTCAACGTCTTCGTATAGCCCCCCTTTAACGGTAACTCCCGATATTCGGTATTTTCATGATTTAAGCGACATTATTCACAGGAACTGTTTCAAATATCGTTTTTGAGGTTCGTTGTGGGTACTTCAGCCTATGACAAAAAAAAAAAAAAATTCATAAGCAGGTACAGGTCTTCCTATAATATATAACGGTTTTCATTTAAGTGGTAGTTTTCGGAAATTTTTCAAGTTCCTTCCAAATTAAAAGTTTGGCCCGGCCTTAGCTGCTTTTTTACTTGTTCTGGATGCATTTGTAACTTTTGCAAGCTTCTGGCTTACCTTCACTCCAACATCGAAAATTAGCTCCGCAGGGCACTCACTTTGATAATAATGGTTGAATGATGATTTCCAAACGATGTTCGTTGTAAGATGATTCATGGGTATGTTATAGACCAAACTGAAGATGTTTGACAGTGAAACAAAACAATAAATGTGAATATTATCCAGTTTTACATTGTAAACTAGCAAGTTCCCGCCACCTTACAATTTCAGACTATTTCGGCCAGTTCATTTTAGTATTCCAAATTCACAATTTTGTCATGATTTCTTGGACAAAATTTCCAAATAAAAATTCATACATTGTACTAACTTTTCAGCTGCACCAGTTCGATAATAATATGAATAAATTCAAATTCCTCCTTTATCAAAAAGGACAAACGAAAAATGATTACTTTTTGTGCCAAAAAAACTCTCAAATTATTTCGTTTCGAAGTTTAACGAAAATTATATTTCTCAAACCCCTGCACTATGTTCCCACATCCAATTTTTCTGGCCAAAACTACTACAACGTCTTTTCATAATAAAAATTGGTCCCCATCAATATATCTAAATCATAGACACCCACACCCATATGAAATCTCAGAATTTCAGCTCTCCACTACTAAATTCAGTACTATTTAGCACTTTTCGTACAATTAAAGCACACATTTTCAAAACAATCTCCATATCTCAATCTCAGATACCAACAGTGATCCAAATATCAAATTTTAGGATTTCAGCTATATTATTATTATTATACTATTTAGTGCAATTATAGAACGCTTATCCAAAACCAACTCCTTCTCTACCACAGACGCCCACATTAAGTTTCAAATTTTTCAAATTTCATACTTCCAACAAAGACCTCAATATCAAATTTTCAATATCAAATACCTTCACTCAATTTAGTACCACTTGGTACATTTCGAACAATTATAGTACTCATTTCCAAAACCACCCCGTATCTTAACCACGGACAACAACAATGACATCTCTATTCCTTCACCCAATATCAAATTTAGCACTTTCCGTATAAATATTGTACATATTTCCAAAATCGCCTCTATATCTCAATTTCAGATACCAACAGAGACCTCAATATCAAATATGAAGGTTCAAACCCAATACCAAATTTAGTACCATTTAATAATTTTCGTACGAATATATTACGTATTTCCGGGCCACCGCCAAATCTCAAACACAGATGCCATCAGTAATCTAAATATCAAATTTCAGAATTTTATCTCAATACCTTCACCCAATACCAAATATAGTACAATTTAGTACTTTTCCTACCATTCTACTAGTACACATTTCCGAAAGCACCTCCATGTGTCCAGACTACACATGAACTGGGATCCTAATACCAAATTTCACATTACAATCACCATCTGTATACCAAATTGTACCAAATATTATACTAATTAGTACTTTTCGTGCATTTGTAGTACATATTTTAAAAACCACCTACAACATTTTAAAATTTCAACTTCATCCGTTCAGCTCAAATTAAACAGTTCCAAATTAGTACAGTTCGCACGCTTAGTACACATTTCCAAAACCACCTGTATATATCAAATTTACTTTCAAACCTTGGTTCTCATACCAAATTTCAAGTTTTTCGATCTA